TGTGTGTGTGTGTGTGTGTGTGTGTGTGTGTGTGTGTGTGTGTGTGTGTGTGTATGTGTGTTAATCGTTACATACAATATTTATAATTACAATTACATTCGCTAAAATTTTATGGTAGCACTGTGTGATGAATCTATATATGTATAGTTCTATTTGGATGTAATATATGAGGGATATAAACCGTGATTATTTTTTTCTTGATAAATTCTTATATAAAAAGGTCAAGTTTTATGTCAAAATTTATAATATCAATCGTAATGAAATATCACCAAAATTGCAAGATCGAGACAGAAAATGAGTGCGACATGGCGCCAACATCAGCCAATATTGTTGCGCGCGAGATAAGTTTCAACACGAATTCGTGAGAATCGCGGTTCCAATAATATAATAAAGTTCATGATCGTAACTAAATGCACCTACGGACATCGGTAGTTACTGTACAAATATGTCACATTTTCGTAGTATTATACGTGATTGGATAATGTGAAATTAACGATAGATTAACGGTGTATGAAAATGATATATCTACACGTAAAATACGGAGCATGTTCGAAGGCTACATAACGTCTCGATTATTTACATCGTATGATGTAAATAATTATTTACAATAGGTCGCATTAACATACAGCGGCGGAATTCTCTAACGTACGTCTTGTATCGACGATATTATCGCTATCGCTAACTAGCGACAACCAACGAGAGCCGCGCTTTTTTTCAGGATCGTCCTTGCCTTGGCTGTCGCTAGTTAACGATAGCTAGTTAATCATCGCTAAAATGTTAGAGAATTCCGCTACAGCCGGTATTAATGTACGTCTATATAGGATATGCTTTACGATTTTTCACGCAATTACCTTTGAGTTTTTCATTCGTTTTTTCTCCTGTAATTAATTCCGAATCTACGGGAACAGCTGATCAATGTCGACTGCTTAAATGTATAAATTACTAAAATCGCTTTATCGAATTAAATAGAACAGTACGCTAAGTGATGATACTTTTCGCTTTAATGGCGTTACATATCTTTTGATCGTATCTAAAGGAGAGCACAGAAGAGAAGAGTACTTAATATCTTCATCGATACTATACTCTTGTTAGCGATCGGATGAATATATGTCTTCTGAATGAATTTAATTTCTGTATTTTGTTTTATTACGCTACAACCAGACATTATCTTGGAAGAAATACGCAGGTATGTGACAGCTATTTACACTAATGAGATATCGTGTATATTCAGCACTCTTTTCCCAATCGTTTCAAAGATCATCTAATAAGGCACTGTGTTTTACTGCGACTGAACCGGTACAAATATGGAACACTTAGGAGTTGGTCTAAAGATTTACAATACCTATGTCGATTCTGATCAGTAACAATCTCGACTCATGACTTACATTTACGATGCATGTATAAATGCGTTTTGATATCTTTTCTTTTTCCATTTACCTTTATCATTGTCAATTTCATATTCGGTATTTTAATGATCTACTTTATGAATAATGATGCGTATGAAGACAGTAAACAGTATGTAATTATAATAGTTACGATTAAAATGTTTCAGGAACAAAACGTTACATGCAACAAATATGCATACAAATGCAATAGCTGATTATTAGATAAAATAGAAGATTGACTGTACATGTATTACGTAAAAGATGCAATGCGACGCACAATTTAAGAATATTGCGAATCGAGCGCAAAGTTATATCGACATTAAAATCGAAATTATACATACTTTATCTATTTAGGCATTCTGGGGACATTCTTAGGATATTTAGAGGACATAACAACGTTCTGTGATCATTAGAACGTCCTTTGGAGATCTGTGCTTTATGGCTTATGTTTAAATATAGTTTTACTTTTAGAATGGATAATAAAGTTTCAAACAGAGTTGTTAAAAATCATGCTTTAAACATGTTTTAAACATGTTTCTTTTATAATAATGGCCTGGTTTACACCGTACGCTTAGTCCGCGACCTATACGATAGATGTCTTTATTTAACCTATAGATTAAACAAGAACGTCCATTGTTTAGGTCGCGAACTAAGCACACGGTATAATCCTAGCCACTGTTTAAAGTACGTATAAAACATTAAAAACATGTTTGAAAAAAAAACAGAATGTTTTATTCTTAAAGAAAATTATCTCTTATCAACCCTGATTTCAAATGGGCATTTACAGTTAATCTCAAGTTCACTGTGGATGAACACTTCATTACATATAATCCAAATTGCTTTCGGAGAGAGTAAACTCTTATATGTACACTAAATCAAAGTTACATGTCCATCTAAAATCCTTTTCACTCCTTCTTTGGAGAAGATAACGAAAAATTAAAATTCTCAATTGAATACAAATTTTAAAGTTCTGTTTCGTCATTATCTTCAATGGACATATTGGGTGCTTTTCAATTGTAAAATGTAATTAGACACTTTCATGCATATGGCGACATAAGTTTTGCGTTCCAATTGCCGTAATCGTCGATACAACACTACACATTCTTACTCAGCCTGAGAGCTACTAGTCGGCTATGTAAGCTATATGTGTTTTCTAGTGACAATTACATATTACTAACTCACGCGGCTATAAATGAGATTGGAGGACGTTGAGTGGCCGGTACTTTTGCTTTTTTTATTCAATACAGGCGAAAAAAGCTACATTTAATCTAACTCTATCCAAAACAGATCGAAATCACAACGTATATATTCTGTTTTAATTGAATCGTGCATAATGCTACACTTTATGCATTTCTGTATATGTTGTGTTAAAGATCGACGTATTAAGCAATTGGAAAGCATCCATTTACTACTAACGGTTGCTAGTGAGACGTTAAGTGTTCTTTTTTTAGAAAAAAAAAAGGTATATACATGTATGTATATGCACAATATGCGCGCGCGCGCGCGTGTGTGCGCGCGTGCGTGTACGTGTGCACGCATGTGCGAGGTAACGGAAGATAACGAGAGTAACTTGGAGTCGCGTTGTGATAATATATATGCGAGTGTAAGAACCGAGTAATAACAATATTATTATAAATGACATATTACATAATAAACTATTTATATTGTACAACATAATGTGAGTGCATACACATATTAATACAATTAATATAGATACAGGTTTCTTTTTTAATTACGCAGTATAATATGTCCAATAAAGAAGGACTTCACTCAACTTATTGTTACATAATGTTCTATGCAAGTAAACTTTATTTTTTGTGTATCGTTTCATCGTAGCGTGCATACTAACTCTATGCTGCGTGGAAAGGAATGGTATTCGTCTCACATGAATAAACACTTTTCAGATTGTATTTTCAAGATTGTGCAGGAATTATCGAAATTTTGTTGTTATTTCGAAAAAGAAATTTCTCAAGAATCGCACATTATTGCGCTGCTTTGTGAGTTATCATAATTATTCTACAATTAACCTGAAGTATAGTTATTATGATGACACAAAATATATATACTTAAATTTAAAAGAATACTATTTGAAAACAGTATTTCCTGCATATTCGATAATACGATCCGCAAAATTACGCGTTTAGTCTGCAGTCGACATTGGTTACTTTGACAACATAGGATGTCATCTGAAAGGTATGCGCGATTGCGACGTTTCTACTTATCTCTTAAGAAAAAGTAGTTAATTACCCCGCCTAATATGGCTTCATCGGACTAGGATTCAGCATCAGATCGTATATACATGGATAAACGTCGAAGAACGAGATCGCGCAGGTCGAATCGCGTGATGCCAGTTTCGCACGTTTAGATGGGAATATATATATGTATATGTATATATATATGTA